AAATTAACTTTTTATTTATTTAATATATAAATTTAGTTTTTTATTTATTTAGTTTGGGGTCTTTCAAAGTATGTACGCAGATATTGGGGTGATTTGGGGTCTTCCAAAGTATGTACGCAGATATTGGGGTGGGAGGATTAATCTAAAACGTATAAATGCGTACAAGGGAAGAGGTGTTAAAGACAGCATGACCGTACGCGGCTTGACTATCTTTTGTTCTTTATCTATCTTTGAATTTCCCGTGTTTAAAAAATAAACACTATGTTAATGTAACAGAGAAACATTGATTTAACTGAAAATTTATGTATTTTTAAATGTTTTTGAAAATTTTACGTTGCCGAAGGCTTTTGTGAAAAATCATGCGTACGTACATAGAGTATGGGGGGAGGGGGTTAAAGCATGTAGGTGCTACAAAGGGGGGAGAGAGTTCTATTTCAGTTTTTTTACAGCCTACGTATTTTATAGATGCCCACTTTATAAAACCATGCTTGTAGAGCAATTTTTTTTATCTAAGGAGAATGGATAATCCTTCTAATGTGATGCAAATATGGAAGTCTTAAACTTGGAAAAATTTAATTTGTATCAGATTCTTATCTCTATGTTCAAATATAAAAATAATACACTACCGAGTTCCTTTACAAACATATTAATGTTATCATTTTTCCAAAGTTATAATGTGTGATCGTGTAATGTGTGATTTCCTTAACTATTATATTAAAAAAACTAAAATCTGGTTTCTGAATTTTCAATTATGTCACCAGGCCCCAAAACATAAAAAAACTTGAAAAAGTTAAAACTTAAATCATTTAAACGGCAAGCAAAAATTGCATATTCTTGATTGGAAAAAATGATTGCATTAAATAAAAAAGTAAAAACTAATAATACCATTTAAAAAAATAAAAAGTAAAATGTTAATAAAAAAAACAATTAAGAGCAGTAAAAACAAACATTAATAACAGTAGAAATAGTAATTACAAAGCAAATTACTTAATCTATTATTAAAAAATTACTAAATTTACTTAAATTACCTTTTTACATTAACATAAACATATGCCAGAATCTGCAAAAAGATTTTTTTGGAGTTTTATACCCAAAAATGCTGAATCTTCTTTGATTTCCTTTTTAATTGGTTTTTATAATTTGAAAAAATAAATATATATAATATTTATTATACCAAAATTTATACTAAAGTTTGTATCAATATTTTATTAATATACTTTTATCAATCTGATACGTAATAATTTTGTATATACATTTTCTTTTTCACGATAAAAAAATGTATCTTTATATGGTATACCTAAAGAAAAAAAATATAAAAAAAATTTTTTTTTAACAACAACAAAAAAAGCTTACTTTTATTTAATGCGTTGAACCCTTCACACCCTTCACACCCTATTACACCCTTCACACATTATTTTTTATTACCCTTTACACATTATTTTTTTATTACCCTTCACACCATATTATTTATTATTATAGTCACACATTATTTTTTATTACCCTTCACACCCTATTTTTTATTACCCTTCACACATTATTTTTTATTACCCTTCACACATTATATTTTATTACCCTTCACACATTATTTTTTATTACCCTTCACACATTATTTTTTATTACCCTTCACCCATTATTTTTTATTACCCTTCACCCATTATTTTTTATTACCCTTCACACATTATTTTTTATTACCCTTCTAGAACTTCTAGATATTTTCGCATTATTTGCATGATATATGCTTACTTAAACTATAGAATAAAGCGATTGAATGTAAATAGTATTCATATAAACAAACAATTCAATAAGACTTTATTTTTATGAAAAGTATATGTATTCAGTAGCGGTACATAGGATACCAGATATTAAAAAAAAAGGAGAGGATGGGGGGAGGGGAAGGGAGGAGGGAGGGGGAGTAAAAACAGAATTAAAAACAAACTGTAAAGTTGAGTTATTTATTTTATCTTCAATTAAGTCTAATTTTTTAAATATTGTTAGATGTGTTTTATTATTTAAGTTTGCTTAGTACTGTTTTCGTGTTGCAAAGCGGACGATTGCTTTTTATCGTCTTTTTGATTAGTCATATTATATATTATTGACCAGCGTAAATTTTACAGAATATTGATTCAAAATTTTGAAAATGAAAAGAATATCATATTAACGTCATACCTAGGTAAAGCGATCCTAGTATGTAATTTTAAACCATTCATGTTAATTTATCAAAGCATCTCAACTGATTAAAGCACCACAACTGATATTTTGAAAGAAAATAAGATTTTCAAATTTTAGTTTTAAGTATTTGTTATTTTGATATACCACAAACTGAATCACATACCATTACACATTAGAATACCTAAAAAATTAATATAACAAGAACAAAAGATTTGAAAAATAATTCTATAATGGTTTTTTAAAGTAATGAATTCCATATATTTACATAATGAAAATATATTTACATAAAAAATGAATTACTATTTTAATTAAACTATTTTATGTGCTAACTATATACATTATTAGATTTACCACAAACCACCATCAGCCTATGTGTAACAATTATCAACATCGTTTTTATTAGAGTTTGATGACCTCTGTCAATGTATTCCAGTTTAACTATTAAAATTGTAAATAAATACTGCACAGCGCTGCATATGTGCTGGACAATGTTATAATACACATTTGCACCTTCTATGTAAACATCGGTTAATTTTACCAATGAATCTAAAACATAAATTTCACTAGGCTATTTTTGTGTATCAAATTTTCAAATCGAAGTGTTATAATGAAGTACTCTTCGTTAATACTCATTGAAATAAAAATAATGAAGTACTCTCCATTTTGTTTAGAGTTTCTTTTTTTAACGGAAGATATGCGTTTGGTTGTTCAATGTAGAACCTTTTTAATCTTATCAGTTTTCTGTTCAATATAGGGGCATCAAACTTGTATAATGTATTCAAGATGAGGATGTAGAAGTATTGTGTTGAACTTTGTAACCGTTCTTATATTTTAATGTTTAAATGTTTGTTGAGTTAACTGCAAAAACAACTGCGGTAGAGAGGGAGAGGGGGTGGGGGTTTGTAGTAAAAAAAATATGCATAAAAGCTGTTAATTAGCTAAGTTTATAAAAATGCGTCATACTTTAAGCCAGAGGAGCATGTGACCATTTCCCTTCTCCCCTGTACGCGCATATGTCAAAATTAAGATATTATGTTATTTTATATTAAATATATAATAAACTTTCTTTAGGATATTATTGCTATAGTTTTACAAAATGATAAGTACTTATATATATATATATATATATATATATATATATATATATATATATATATATATATATATATATATATATATATATACACGCACACAATATTTTATTTTTATATTAAAAAAAACTTAAAATTTATTTATTTGAATAAACTAACCGTTGTTAATAATAGCCTAATCTTTCATAAAAATAAGTTTATGTTAATTGAGTTTTGTTAGGATTGAATTTTTTAAAAATTTTAAGCGCAGATTTGCATGTTTACTTATCTAACTGAAGATTAAAATTTTAATTGTAGAATGTGGATTTTATGGCTTGGAAACCAGCTTTATAATTAAGCCGCTGGCCTTTTAATAATACTAATTTATTTAGGGAAAAACTCTTAAAAGATCGTAATGTTAAAAATACAATGCTATGTAATTTAATCTTAAAACATCTTTTTATTTATAAAAATAAACTAAAACTAAATCAAAGAAATTATAGAAACTATTTGCTTAAACAATTTTATTTTAAAAGCATATTTTCTTATTAAATGTATTAAAATAAGCAGATTGCATTTTAAATTCTCCTTACATTCTGATGAATATCTTAAAATTTTTAAATAGGAATCTCTGGAAATAAAGCATGTGCCAGAAATAGCTTGAAAACAACTTGCGAATTGAGAGCAGCTTTGGGCGTACAGATTGGTTAGTATTTTTAGAAACTTTATTTTTACTCTATTTTTTTTACCGCCAAGAAAGTGTAATTTCAGTCGTAGACCAGGTCTTAAATTCATTAAGTCGTTAAAACAAGCGTGAAAAGAATACAATTTGTTTTTAGTATTTCTTGTAGTTACGCGACCACAATTTTTTTAAATAATATAAAAAATTTTCCCAGACGTAAAAGTTGTGTAATATTTATAATTGTTTATAGAAATAAATTTGGTTTTTAAAAAAGCAATCAAATTTAAAACATCGCATATCATACATGAAAACATAAGTATTTTGAAAAAAACTTGTTTAATATTGTTTTTGAAAGCGTTGAATATTTGCAAACACTTAAAACGATGTTTCTTTAATTTTAGTTTCTCTCTGAGTTTGCGCATTTAATAATTCAAGCTCATGGAAGAATTTTTTTTCAAAACTTCTATGTTTGTAATAACATTTAATATAAGAACCAACAAGTAATAAATACTAAGATTTTAACTAACCATATCGCGCGTGAAAAAAAAAATTATTTAGCTGCTTTTTCTTAATTTATTATCTTATGATATTTCTTAAATAATTGATTGCTGTAATTTCTAATGAGGCCTATTTAAACGGAATAGCACCGTTTAATTTCGCTAAAGAAATCTGACGTTTCAACGTCCACAAAATTATGTTGTTGGATGAACTGACCAATATATTGTTCTTTAATAAACTTTTTGTTGTGAAGAAATTATTTACGCCATACATTATTGATTTAACGCTTGAGTTTCTTTTAACTTTAGGCAATGTCTGATGAAATTATAAATAATGGAAAGTTCCAATGACGCATATAATTAAAAAAATAAATATTTCACTGAGGGTATCAACACGAACGATTTTCATTAATATTCTTCTAATTAGTGTTTCATTCTTTTGATAAGGTCACAGTTTGTTCAGAAAGCTGTTTATTGCCATAATTCCCGGGTCTTATTGAAAATCGCTGAAGCGTTTTTTAGAAAATGCTTGCCATTAGTTTCGACATTTCAAACAAAACTTTTTTGTTTTGTTACACTGATTTCAATACTTTAAATCTTCTAATAACGTTTTTCCTTGAAGAAGGAAAAATATCCCTAAAGGATTTTTTAATAATATTTTGATATAATATTTAAAACGGACCAAAGTGTCCAAATATTTAATTATTTTTTGTAACGGGTAAGTCGTTTTAATTTTTGTTTACGTTTCAAATAACAACTGGGTTAAACTTTATCTTGTGCGTTTTATAAGCTGAAACTATTGGCGGATTCCCTCCTGGATCCGACAATAGCAGGAGACAACTTTTTATTTCTTAGACTTTTTCTTTTTTATTTTGCAGTGCGCCTCTATATCGAGGATCAAATTTAAGCTGGCTTCTGCTTCGGACAAAGAGGAATCGAATTCTCGGGTCCATAGCTCATTTGCTCCACACAATAACTCCGGTGACGCAGCAAAAATGGGTCGGAAAAAAATTCAAATTTCTCGTATAAACGATGAACGGAATCGACAGGTAATATATAAAAAGCGCGCAAAAATTAATTTGCAATAAGAGAAATCTTTAAAAAGAAATAAAGAAAGCGTATTATCTCATTATAAGGGATTAATATATGTCAAAAAAACTAATCCACTTTCTCTATTTCTTTTTTTTAAAAGAAATTCCTCTTCTGTACATCTTTTATACGACTGTTATTTCTCTTGATGGTTGTATTAAAGTTTTTATTATGGGTGTATGTATATTATTTTTAATATCTCAATGGGACATGATGTTTATTTTTCTATGGCAATGATGATGCCAAACCTAATTTATTTCAACATTTTAATTTTGATAAAATAAGGAAGGCTGATTCTAACAGTTTGAATTTATTATGACTCATATGCTTTATTATTATGAAAGCATAAATTTTTTATCAGTTGATCTACCGCAAAACCTATGATCTATTATTGATGAGATTTAGTTGCGTTTTAGGAACAGCTAATTATAAAATGTTAACACGTTTGTTATTAATTCTTGATTTTGGAATTCTAAAAATGAATTATTGAAATAGGTTTGTCTGTTTTAATTAAAATTAAAATTTATTACTCCCAAAAAGTGGAAAACTTCATTAAGCTGGTTTTTGCAACATTAGATACAAATTTTGTGTTTTGAAAGAGATCTTTTTTATGCTTTTCACTAAATTAAAATAATGTTTAAAAAAAGTACGATGGTTTAAATTTCTTTCAATTTAATGTTACCTAAGGTATTTGCTGACGTGTGGCTTGTTATTTTTTGAAAAATGATGGGGTTAAAGTCCTTACAAGTTACCTGCCGTGGCGCCACTAATGAGCAGGATTGAATAGTTTTTATCTAGTTCACAAATCTTACGTTTGCAGTTAACCAGTTGCTTATAGAGAATCATAGTTATACACAGTTCTAATTTATTCACTTAGGCGCCTTGTAACTTTTTTTAACGTGCGCCTTTCAATAATAAAAATGAATCTTGTTAAGATTTTAGAAATTTTACCGACTAAATGCAATAAAATATATATTATATATTACATAATAATCGTGTGTTATTAACAATAAATAATAATGGTAATATATTATTAATTAGTATATATTATAATATTGATAAACAACATCAGAGTTAAAATAAAATTCTTAATTTCAATTTTATAATAAAATCAATTAAATTGAAAATAAAAAGTACTAAAAACATATCTACTGGTATATTAATAAAGGTTTTGTGAGGGTTGTTGTTCTTTGTAAATTGTCGCTACATTTGATTTTGTTTTAAATTAAATTAGTAAGTAAAGAAGGGAGTTTGGGAGGGAAAGTGTTCATATAAAACAGCGTTTTTAGTGTGAAATAAAAAAAGTATTCCGCGCTAAAATCAAGAAAGACTGCGAAAGTTTTCTATTTTGCGGCGCTCCGTGATCTGGACTTTTTGGACGACCAGAATAATTTGAAACCAAAAATAAAATGGGTAAATAGTTTATAGAGACAGAGATAAACATTTTAGTATAAATCATCTTTTAATAATCATTATTTTTGCAATTCAATAATTTAAAAACAAAAAGACTATAAAATACGCTATAAAAACAAACACTTATTTTTTAAAATACTTTTTATTCAACAGTAATATATTCTTTTCAACAGAAATAAACTTTAATAAAAATAGACTTAAGTTTATTTCAAAGAATGTATTTCTTATTATGTCTTTTTTAAAACTAAATATTCCACATAATTTCCATAAGTAATTGTTATTTTTTTTATCAATTAAAGGTTTGTTTGTGAGATTTATTTCAAGTTTTTGGTATTTGGTAAAATTAACTGAACAGTTGTTTTAAATTGCAAATTATTGTTATCAATGTCATCAAAAGTAGTCTAAAATTGCAAAAACATCACAAACATAAATATTCACATTGTAAGACTAAAATTGTAAAACATAAATATTCACATTGTAAGACGGGTATGATCAATCTTTCCCGTGATAAAGTTCAACAAACTTGTTTAAGTTGAATTTTGTTCAATATGACCTGGAATATGAAAGGCAACTTCTCTACTACCTACTGATCGATATATCATTCAAAAAAGAACAATCGAGTTTGTTTAAAAGTTTGTTAAAATAGTTTTTTGATTGTTAGTTTATTTTATATCACTATTACATTTACCGATGTGTATAACTTAATTTTTAATTTTGATAATTCACTCTGAGCACAAAAAAATTCTTTAAACTTACCAGCTAACTAATCTGCCGGTTTTAGCTGCTGCCAATAATCTGCCGGTACTTTTCAAATTTGTTTTACTGGATCGCACAAATTTATAATAATAATATAAAAGATCTTCAATTGAAGAAAATAATTAAACTAGTGTAAATGAGCAGATATAAAAGTTTTTTACAATTTAAAATTTTTTTGTTTTTTTATGCATAATGCCATTGCTTGTTAAAACTCAGGTTTTTTTATCATTCAAGATTATTTACTTCGATTATTTACAATGAACCAATATTTATTAAAGAAATGTAAAAGGCAAAAAAAGATTTCAAACCACCTAGGCACTTTTATTAAGGGGCAACATGAACATTTTTGTCGTTCTTTCAACATTCAAAAACAAAGCAGAAAATAAAAATTGTTCTGTGTGTTCAGTGTAGTTTTACGCTATCAAAATAATTCTCGTTTAAATAAAAACAAACACAAGTTTTACAGTCTGTAAAATATTATATCAATTTGAATTCTGTGTGGTATATATTTTTAAAAATTTTCTAAATTTTGCTAAAAAAGAAAAGAAAAAGTCCAACCAACTAAAACTTTTATTCCCTTAAATTTTATTGGATATGATATTTTTACTTTATATTAATGGACGCCCTAATTATCTTGGCGCCAAAATTTGATGCTCCTTTTGTCTTTCCTCGTGGTGGGCCTCTTGGTTTAACAGCACATAGAAGACTTTCCTCTTGGTGGGCTTGTTTAACTACACTTAAAAGACTTTCTTCTTATGCAAAAGTGGTGAATCAGCATAAGCGTGAATAGGGCCGGCGCCAGATTATTTTGCACTCTAGGTGAACCTATTGCACAGCGCTCCCTACCTCCTCGACGTCAACTAGCTATTTTAGTAATAATAGCTTTCACAATGGAATGCTTAAGTTTTGCTATGTTATTGTTTGTTTTAACTTGTATTTACATTCCATAAAATCTTTACATATATAATCGTATATAAACTTATAGTTGTATTACGTTATAACGTGTAATTTCAAAACTTTACTTTTCATACTTTTGTTTTAGTAGAAATATGTTCCATCAATTCAATGTTTTTAGCAATATCATGTTTAATTGAAAGAGTAGCTAGTGAAATAAGTCTTTCTTGTAGTGTAGACGTTTGCAAATATGTGTTTATCAGTTTGTGTTTAGAGAAGCTTCGTTTGCCACTTTTCGGCGCTACGCGTATCTAAGTGTTTTGCATAAAGTAAAAACACTAGTCGTGTTGATCTCAAACAACACTTCATAGCGCTCAACCAGAGAAACGACAAACTTAAAACTAGAAATGTTTTTAGCAATAAACCGTGCGTAGCCGTTGACAAAATTACAAACTCATATTTTTATGCCAAATTATTTACTTCCTAACTATATCAATGCGTTTGACTCGAGTATAAATAAATCAACTAGCAATAGGCATAAACTTTTAAGCTAGTTTCTTTTCTATATCAATATCCGTGGTTAAGCCGAACGCATCAATTTTGATCGCTCAGTTTAACCACGGACAAGTGGTTAAACCCGGTCTGGGTCTAAAGTGTAAGTAAATAAAGGTAAAAATCAATTTTTTTTTTTTTTCTACAATTAGTACAAAGTTACATAATATAAGAGTTTGGAGTTATAACACAAATGAAACCTCATCAACAATTTATATATAAACAAAATTGATTTTTTCCCAATTAAATTTTGTCCAATTGCAAAAGACATTTAACAGACAAAGAAGTTCTTTGTCTGTTAAATGTCTTCTGAGACATTTAACAGACAAATAAGTTCTTTATCTGTTAAATGTCTTTTATAAGCAAGTTCTTTAAGAACTTGCTCATAAAAAGATATGACTTATATGGCTTATGATATGACTAATATAACGGCGGGTTGTTACTTGCTTTCGTTTCAAATTTATCTAGATTGTATTTTTTTATTTTTATTTCTTACCTATTTTGGCGGTTTTTACGGGATTCCAAGGAAACCCTTTGTGATCCTAAAACACGTGCTTTTGGCATATTTTTTGGCATAATAATTGGCAAGAAGAGATACGATTTCTTGAACTATTGTATTTGTTCCAAATATTTGTTATTTAAAGTTTGTTCAAAACATAGAATAACAACAATTGAAAAAACCTTTTGGCAGAATCAGTTCCAGAACAAGTTTGTTCTCTTCCATAATTAAAGAAGCTTTATATCACTTGTTGTGATTTGTCTTCAAATCTCCAAATGCTTTTGAAACTCCTGCGTTATAATGATTTTTCAAGTCAGTGTCATGTCAACAGCAAATGTAAATAAATTCAACACTCAATGATGGCAATTTTAAAATTGCATGAAATTTAGAGCCTAACGTTGTTTATGTTGATTAAATATAGCAGTTTTGTTCTTTTGTTGTTGTTTTTTTTTGTTTAGTTTTGTAATGCTTTTGTTCTAATATTGCAATTGTTAATTGGACTCCAGTGTTTCAAGCTTTTCTGTTGAGGGCTAAATATATCAATGATATATTTGATATGTAAATATATAAATGATATTATCATTAGTTTTCTTTGATCTAAAAAGCTAGACTTATTTCTCCGTTATTGATTCCAAGCTCGATAAGATTTGTTGAGTGTTCTCTTTTTAACAGAATATATATGTTTAGTTCTTCCAAGTTCTTACAATAATCAATGTCTGTGTTCTCTGCTGCTGTGTTTGTCTATTTACAAACAGAACTATTTTGAGTATGTGATTTCTATATTTTAATATAACAAACTTGTTATTTTTTATTAAAAATGTGTTACTTATAATTACTCAAAATTATTTTTGAAAATATCATTAGGATTTTTTTTTTAAACATTCACAGGTCAGTGTAATTTGAATAAATGACTAAATACGAATTGAATCAAAATTTTTTTGACTATGAAACTATTATTACCTAATAACTAATAACACAAATAGTAATAATGCTAATGTTAATGCTAATATTACAAAATAATAGTAATAATGATAATAATAAAAATATTAGTAATAATGCTATACAATAGCCCCTATATATATATATATATATATATATATATATATATATATATATATATATATATATATATATATATATATATATATATATATATATATATGTATGTATATATGTATATATGTATATATGTGTATATATATATATATATATATATATATATATATATATATATATATATATAATTTTATCAGAAATATTGCCGAACATCAACGTTTTTTTGCTAAAAAAACAATATTTGCTGTAAAAAAAGAAACAAGAAAAAAAAAGATCCTCAATTTTTAATTTGGGTGGCGCTCAAATACAGCTAATGCTGTTGAAATTGGTTTAGAACAGCCTCTGTATATATACATATATACACACACACACACACACGCATATATATATATATATATATATATATATATATATATATATATATATATATATATATATATATATATATATATATATATATATATATATATATATATATATAAATGCACAAATAGTTTTAAATTTATTCTACTAACTAGAGTGTTCGATGTTCTTAAAAGAACAGAGCAATAATAAATTTAAAGGAGGAAGACATTTCTGATGACTCTTTATAGATGAAACACAGTGTAAAATGAAAAAAGTTTGATAAGTGGTTTTCTGTTAATTTATATATATATATATATATATATATATATATATATATATATATATATATATATATATATATATATATATATATATATATATATATATATATATATATATATACACAATCAATTATGTGTAGGGTTTTAATTATTTTTCAATAGGTTACGTTTACTAAAAGAAAGTTTGGATTAATGAAGAAAGCATATGAACTCAGTATTTTGTGTGAGTGCGAAATCGCACTAATAATTTTTAATTCATCAAACAAACTATTTCAGTATGCAAGCACTGATATGGATAAAATTTTACTTAAATATACAGAGTATAATGAACCACATGAGAGCCGAACTAACAATGATATTCATGAGGTGAACTTTATATTTTTTTAAATTATTTAATAATTTTATTCAAATGTTAATTTAAAATCAAGTTGTCAAAAGCTAAAATCTTCGCAAGATTTCATGTTGTAAAGTGAAGGAAAATTACACTTGAAAAATACACTATAAAAATCATAAAGGAAGGCCTAAAAATTTGAAAAATTGTTTTAATAATTTCTTTAAAACTGAACCTATTTTTAAATTTGGATTAAGCAAGTTTTAGAAATAATATATATATACAGAGGGTTACAAAAGTGTTCATACAGTGAATCCTTCAATAAATGTAGTTATTTTTCATACATTTTTTCAAGTTATTTTGGTGAAATTATGTACAAAATTTATTTTATAGATCAAAATTAATGCAACATGAAAAGAAAAATAATATATTTTCAGAAAATCCCTTTAAAAAACCTAGATACAAGAAAAAGGTCTTGTTTAAAATGTTACTAAAGTCTTCGTACAATATAAAAATCTTTCAGAAAAACCAAAAAAGTGTCAAGAAAGGTATCAGAAAATCAAATTTCAATAACGAGTTGCTTTTCCTTTGCTTTTTATAACAGCTCTCAATCGATCTGGCATAGAATGAACCAGTTTTTTTGTGATTTCTTGGCTTAAACAATTCCAAGTACTCTCTAAAGCAACTTTCATCTGTAGTTTGTTAGTGAACTGAATTTTACGCAGTTTGATTTCCAATTCTGACCATAAATGTTCAATTGGGTTGAGATCTGGACTTTGAGCTGGTGATTTTATTACTCCAGGACAGTTGTAGAGCATCCAGAGCCGTGTATCAAAAGCAGAATGCTTTGGACCATTGTCCTGGTAGTACTTATATACACCAGTCAGCCCCAATTTTTCAGCACTTTGGTTTAAGTTTTGTTTTAGGACATCAATATAAACACGAGCGTTCATGGTAGTCTCTATAAAATGTAATTTACCAACTTCAGACGCTGCCATACAGCCCCAAACCATCACACCGCCCCCACCATGTTTGACTGTTGCTACCATATTTCGCTCTTCTAATTCTGTATTAGGTCTTCTCCAAACATTGACACGTCCATCTGATCCAAACAAATTAAATTTGCTCTCATCAGCAAAAGTTACAGTCTCCCAGAACTTTTTAGGTATCGAAACATACTTTTTAGCAAATTCTAAACGTGCTTTTCTATTCTTCTTAGAAATGAAGGGTTTTTTTCTCGCTACTCTTCTATGAAAATTTTGTTTTTTTAAGCATCGTCTCACTGTTTGCACACTTACAGATTGTCCTAGATCAAGTTCTAAATCCTTAGTCAATTTAGGAGCGCTCAGCTTAGGCTGCATCTTGATTTTTTGTACCAACCAATTCTCAGTTCGTTCCGAAAGGATTTTTGGGCGGCCAGTTCTTGGTTTATTTTGAACAGAACCCTCAGTAGAAAACTTTTTTATAATAGACTGAACCGTAGATTTTGGAATACAAAGCATTTCTCTTATCTGTGACAGTGATTTCCCATTTTGATGGTGAGAAATAATAAGATTTTTCATTACTTCTGGCAACTCGTTTCTAGTAGGCTTCATTTTCAAAATTACCAATTTTTTATTGCACAAAATATCCTATTTGACAATTTTATTTACGCTAAAAACAAAAACATAGAAAATTTAAAGCTAATGTAAACATAAACAACAGATAAAGGGGTTGTACGAAGACTTTTGTAACATCAAAAAACTGATTTTTCATCTTTAATAATTTTTTGACATAATTTTTTCTAACTTAAGTATTATTTCTTATGTTATATACTAAATAAAGATAGTTAAAGCGATTTCAACAAGAATTTTTACTAATAAATATGTTTAAATGTTTTAAATATGATGATAAGTATAAAATATTTCACTGTACAAACACTTTTGTAACCCTCTGTATATATATATATATATATATATATATATATATATATATATATATATATATATATATATATATATATATATATATATATATATATATATATATATATATATATATATATATATATATATATATATATATATATATATATATATTAATATTGCATGACCTATAAATATTAAAAATAAGTAAAATAAAAAATTTAATTATAAAAAGTAAAAAACAAGAAATGAACTTTGAAATGAGAAATTTATTTTAATTATTTTTAATTTGTTTAAAATAAATTATTAAATTTTTTATTAAGTATAATTAGTTTGTTCATATAGTTTGTCAAAAGTATATTTTAAGTGTTATTTTATTGAATAGAAAATTTTCTCATTGATGTAGCTTGAAAAGGTGAATATTTTTTATTTTTAAAACAATAGAAAACTTAAAATAGATTTTTTTTTTTTGCATTTCAAAGGAAATGCATATCTGAACCTTTATTTAAAAAGTTAAACATTCCACAATTTCTGTGTTTTTATTTCACAATCTCTTTAAAAAAATGTAAACCTTGTTTACAATAGAAAAAAGTCAAATAAAGTTAAAAAAAGTTACAAAAAAAAAAACAAATACCTGTCTACAATAGACAAAAAGCTAGACAAAGTTTCTAAATGCTTTTGACTTAAAAATTATATACTAAAATGAAAAAATTGTCTCTTTTCATATAGATTGGATGTTTCTTTTCAATTAGGAATTTTCCTGTTTGAAAAAAGGAAAAGTCAGGCTAAATAATAAATAAAACACCATTTTAATAAGAGTTGCTAGTCTAAAAAAAGATAAAGTGAAAACTAAGGACATTATGACAGGTACAATTTAGATAAAGGACTTTAATTACTGCAAAAACCTTGACAAGCAAGACCGCTGCGCGTAGAAATTAAGTTGAGCGCGGTACTTCCAGGGACATGGCGGGAGTCGAACTCCGAACCTATCGCTTACAAAGTGAGCGCTCTTACCACTACACCACTACCGCAATATATATATATATATATATATATATATATATATATATATATATATATATATATATATATATATATATATATATATATATATATATATATATATATATATATATATATATATATATATATATATATATATATATGTATATATATATATAGATATAGATATATAGTCTATATATAGATATAGATATATAGATATATAGATATACAGTCTATATATAGATATATAGATATTCAGTCTGTTTTTTATGCTAGCAAATGAAAAAATGCTGGTAGGAAGGTAATTTTTAAGTTAGTAATTTTTTTCTGCTATTTAAATTGACATAAAAATAGAAAAAAGAATAATAAATACTAGAATAATAAATACTAGATAAATTAATTTAGAAAAAACTGGTATAAAAAGCCAAATTTGAACAAAGGAATAAAAATGTTTTATTGCATATTAAAACAAAATGCTTATATTTTTTTGACAAGCAATTTTTTATGTGGTTGCCAAGGTTTTTTCGAGCGTGTGGGGGAGTGAGAAAAGACTCAAGCACAAAAGTGCTGTCTAAACTGAGAAGACTGTATATATATATATATATATATATATATATATATATATATATATATATATATATATATATATATATATCATATATATATATATATATATATATATATATATATATATATATATATATATATATATATATATATATATATATATATATATATATATATATATATATATATATATATATATATATATATATATATATATATATATATATATATATATATATATATATATATATATATATATATATATATATATATATATATATATATATATATATATATAAATTAGTAGAAAATCACTTAGCAAAATTTTTTCTCATTTAACACTGTGTTTCATCAATACTCATCAGAAAAATTTTCTGATGAGTCTTTATTGATGAAACGCAGTGTTAAATGAGAAAAAATTTTGCTAAGTGATTTTCTACTAATTTGTAATTACTCTGTTCTTTTAAGAACATTGAGCACTCTTTTTGTATAATACTTTTTAAATTGTTTATATATATATATATATATATATATATATATATATATATATATATATATATATATATATATATATATATATATTACAGACTATATCCAGAAAAGAACACAAGCAAACAGGTTCTCCTGATGATGGAGAAACAGCCAGTGTAAGTAAACATGACATTCTTATTGTAGTTAAACAAAAAAAACATTAATTTTACTTACGTGCAGACAGAATATTAGCTTCTATATAACTAATTTTTTTTTCTCTACTTGTACTATTTAAAGTTTCAATTTGAATTATTATTTAGTTTGTTTTAACTCCTCGTACAGAGATGAAGTATCAAAAAATAAATGAGGAGTTTGAAATGATGATGAAGAAGTCAAATGGGGTATGTTTTATTTGTAATTATGTAATCATATAATTTAGTTGATTTTTATTTATTTTATTTTATTTTTTTAAGAGTGGAAGTGAATCTCCCTCCTCGCTACCTCTACCTAGTTATAGAAGTCAATCTCAACAGCAAACCTATAGTCATAGAAGTCAATGTCAAGATCAATCTATACCAAGACTTCAAATGGTAATAACTATTTACTTCTGTAATTGAGCAATTTAAAAATAAACCTGATAATTCATATACTATTAATTTAAAAATTATATACATTATATAGCTGTTACAACATTTTCTGTTACTCTACAATTGATTTTTTATTCAATTGTCACAGCGTACCTTTTTATTATTATCATTACCAATTTATTAAGGAGATTTAAAACTTTTAAACCAGAAAACTATAGACCTAACTAAATCTATTATTTAATTTAAAATTATAGACATAACTATTTATTGTTAAAATATCTGTTTTTGTATTATTTTATACATTTAGTTAGTATGTTTTATTTTAAAACATTAAACTTTGTTTAGAATATTGCAGAATTAAAACACTGCATCTATGATATATAGTGCTAGTAATTCTGCTGTTGTTATTATTTTGGGTTTTTTCAAATATATTTAGAAATATTTTCAAATCTAGAGATTTGAGGCCAACTATAGCGTTTTCCATTCTTTTTATCATTTCCTTTTTCTTTTTTGCATTAATAATATTCTTCTAATAATAATAAGAATTTATAGTAATAATAGTAATAATAATAAGAAAAATTAAATTAGTAAAATCAGTTACCTAATTTTTGTCTTCAACAACTTGTTTCTCTATCAGTAGGTTCATCAGGAAGTTCTTCCTGATGAACATACTGATTTAAAAATTAGGTAACTGTTTTTACTAATTTAGTTATTGCTCTGTTCATTCTATTTGTAGAATACACTAACATAATTATATATATATATATATATATATATATATATATATATATATATATATATATATATATATATATATATATATATATTTGTATAGTTTAGCACTTACAGGGACAGATTTTACAAAAAAAAAAAAAAACACTTACGGGGGCATTAGCATAATCAGGGACATTTTAGTGTACCCGTTAATTTTTTTGTCCTTGTAAGCATGATTTTTTTTGTAAAAAAATGTACCCTTAAGAAACTTTTATAGAGAACAAAAAGTACATACATTGACTGAAAAATAGCCTGACTCGCAAGGGAGTGCTGCTACATTGAATGAGGGTTTGGTTTGGCCAGGCATCAAGGTCAGGCTTAGGTTTAGGGTTATGGCAAGGTTTAAATTAGGTTATATTATTGTAATTATTTGTTTTTGTTAATAGATGAAGTTAAAAATGAAATATAATATTAAATAAATAAAAATAACAAAAATTAGTATAAAAAGTATATTTTTAATAATAAAATAATAAATTTAAATATGTATATATATATATATATATATATATATATATATATATATATATATATATATATATATATATATATATATATATATATATATATAATTATATACATTTATTTATTTATTTATATATTATTTTAAACATCTTCACTTCCAACTTCCAACAACGAAAAAATAGAACTGGAACAAAAATAACATGTCCCTGAAAGTCGCCAACTAGGATGCTAAATATATATATATATATATATATATATATATATATATATATATATATATATATATATATATATATATATATATATATATATATATATATATATATATATTATTTTAAACATCTTCACTTCCAACAAGGTTGCAAACAACCACTATTAGAGTTTGGAGTTACTGGAAAAGAAAAAATGAAGTTTTCAAAGCAAGATAACAAGTAACAGGCAACTTTGATTGCAAGTTATATGAATCAGGAAAACCAGATTAAGGGAGCAAGTTCCAAAAAATTGATGTTCGAAGAAAAAAACTTGGTGAAAAAGAATTTTTGGAGCACTTAGTAACTGTAACAGTAAAATGATGGAACTTAATTGAATGACAAGTAATATGAAAATGAATTTTAGTAGATAGCGCTAGAGATACTAGCTTTTTGGAGCAGCACCCATTACAATATTTGTAGAAAGGAGAAAGAGAAGTAGAAAGAAAAGCAACATGTAAACACACATATGTATCATTAATTAATTTTTGACACATTTACTTTAGACACCATCAGGAAGTTATTCCCAACAAATGCATTTATTACCTTCACCTAATGAAGAAAGTCCTATGTCTAAAGATCCACGTTCGAATACACCACTAAACAGAGATGAGCGAGTTTCTCCTAGTCCTCATAACAGTAAACAATTTTTTAAGTATTTTTATTCAAATTTATCAATTAAATGGTTGAGTTTTGTATTATTTTATTTAGCTTTTCACCACTCTATGAGTCCACCGCCGTCAATTCTTCAATCCTGCAGTCCCCATAATTCACACTTGTCTTCACAAAAAATAAATAATACTAGAAGTGACATTAATAGTGGAAAAAATACAGCAATATCAAGTTCAAGACCACAGGTTAGATTTGATTACTTTTCTTTTTGTAATAATAAAATACTGCTTTTTTTATTATTCATCTCCCCAAGGGCCAGTCAAGGAGGCTACTCATAATTTTTTAATTATTTTTTCTTATTGTTGATTTAACCCTCTATCAACCTTTAACTCTGAAACATCTCAACAAACAAAGCCGTTACACGATGAAACAAAATGAGTGTGGTACCAAGGATGTGGTGAGGATTAAAGTTGGAACATGCTAACAAAGCAAGCACTCTTCCACATACTATTGTTCTTACTTACTATTACAAATAAATAAAATAAATCAATAGTAGAATAGCTTGTAATTATATTTTCCAGTAACTTTGCTAATTTATTAGCTTTTATATTTCTTTTTTATTTGGCAGCACCAGAGAGGAATGGGTTTTTAGAGTTGTTATACCTTTTAATTATGCAAAATATTTTTTTTTTTTCACGGTTTGTAAAATAAAATTAATTGTAAAAATGCTTTTGTTAGTTTTATATATTTTTTAGAAAAGTCATACTCCTAATCAGCAACTAATGCACATGTCTGGTAATGGTTCTTTGATGTCAAGTTCAGCATCTCTTGCCACACCAAATTATCAATCGATGTCTTCAACATTTCCTTCTGGAATTTCGTCAAACTATTCTGCACCATATAGTGAAATAGATTCATTGCAGTACCAAAGTCCTTCTATGTCTAATTCGTTATCTATGGTTCATCAACAAGAAATGGCAAATTCAATGCAAAGGTTTTACTACTTTCTTAGTTTACTAAAATACTTATAATTTTCTATTATCGTTTATTTTATATTATTACATAAATTACTTTTTTTTGAATTTGGTACGAGATAAAGGAGTTCTATAATATTCTTAATATTTACTTTTAAGGTCGATTCCCATGCATAATAAAAATGTTAAGGCTGAGCCTCTCGAACATTTACGCGTTTCATCGCCATCGTTAATGCAATCTTATCCGCAATACCCGCGCCATAAACAATTGATGGAATCTAGTAATGTTACACAAGATTCACTATATATTAAAAGGCCTCGAATTGAAATGCACAGTGATGGCTGGCAATAATATTTAAAGTGAGGAAGTTCCTCGTTATCTAAAGTGGTTTCCAGAAATTTTTTTTCAATTTCTGAATAACACATGGCGCATTCTAAATACTAGATTACTGTTTTCTAATCTGGCGTATAAGAACTATGGTAACCAAAAAAACAAAATAGTTTTATGATTGAAATCGCGCAATGTAGCAATGTAATATTTCATAAAGATATATATATATATATATATATATATATATATATATATATATATATATATATATATATATATATATATATATATATATATTAACGTAGCAACAACAGATATACATTTACTGATTGATTCAATAACGTATATTTAAAGTTGCATCTTTTCCTCTCGAATTTTTTTAGCATTCTTTTTGTTAATAATTCTGTTTTATACTAGCTTCATGTACCGTACTATGTATTAAATGGATTTGTATATAGAATTTTTTTGTCATTTTATTTCTTTTGTTTGGTTTTAATGTCGTCGTTCTTCTTCAAATAATGCTATAATTAAAAAGCTTATATTTTTTAACAATTCGCGCTAGTTTGTCCTCAGAAAGTTGGGCTTAGGCTTTTATAAGTTTTAAATATAAGCAAACATTAAAAATTTATGTGCTTTGTATTTGAAGGTTGCAGCGTCTGAGCTATACATCAGAAGCGTGTCAAGAATTTTTTTTTTTTTTGGCACAAAAAATTCTTAGTAAATGCAGTATGTATATATAAATATACATACTGCACTTACTAAGAATTTTAAATATAGTACAATGAGCCTTTTTTGATTTGTAAAATAAGGATATTTTTTAAAATAGTTTTTTTTAATATTGATACTTACCAAGCGATAGCACTAAAAGTTTCAAAACTTTCTGTTAATTAAAGCAAAATGCAAAAGAAATTTTCTAAAATAGCTTTGTTGGGTACCGTGGTAACAGCGCCTAGCACAAGTATGGTCTTTTTTTTTTTTTTCATTATCTTTACTTCCAACAGGACTGTAAGCAACCACTATTAAAATTCGAAGTTATTGGAAGAGAATAAGATGAAGTTTATGAAGCAAGATAACGATTTTTTTTTTCTTTTTTAAACATCTTCGCTTCCAATACGGCTGCAAGCAAGCACTAATTAGTGTTGGAAGTTACTAGAAGAGAACAGATGAAGATTGTAGAGCAAGATAACGATTGACAGACGGCTTAAAAGATTGCAAATTATATGAATCAGGAAAGCATAATGAAGGGAGCAAGTTCCAAAGAACTGATGTTAGAGAAAAAACTAGACGAATAAGAGTTTTTGGAGCACTTAGGAACAGTAACAGAAAAAGGATGAGACTTAATTGAATGACGAGTAACACGAGAATGAATTTTAGTAGATGGTACAAGAGATGCTAGCTCTTTAGAGCAGTGCCCATTATAGTATTTGTAGAAAAGAGAGAGAAGCAACATTACGAAAATGTGACAAAGGTTGAAGGTTGGCTGCAAGAGCAGGTCCAATTATGTTTACAATGCGTTTTTGAACCTTAGATTAACAGACAATTTTAAAAATTACCAATTTTATAAATTAGCAAAACAAGAAGCAAGCAAATTCCGAAAAACTGATGTTCGAGGAAAAAAAACTAGCCAAATAAGAATTTTAAGAGCACTTAGGAATGGTCATAGTAAAAGGATGAGACATAATTGAATGACTAGTAAAGGACGCAAGCTCTTTAGAGCAGCGCCTAATATAGTATTAAAAGGAAAAAAAAGAGAAACAACATTGAAACACTGTGATAGTGGTTGATGGTTTGCTGCAAGAGCAGGTCCATCTATGTTTACAATGCATTTTTACACTAGAGAATAGACATTGTTTGAAGATCCGCTCAAGATATGGCAACAGTATTCCATATGAGAATAACTTTGAGATTTGAAGAAATAAAGAATAAAATCCAGAATAAGAAAGTGGCGAGCACGATAAACAGATGCAACCTTAGCAGAGGTTAATTTTGCGATGGATTTGATTTATTGCAAAATTTTAAGTAAAAGTTAATCCTAGAAGACGAAGGGTATGAGATGACTCATCGAGTACATTACCGTTCATAATAATAGGAAGATTTAAATTGTTGCGATAACGATCAGCTGAAAAAAGTTGAGTTTTATCTGAGTTAAAGTTTATTAGTCACTGAGGGTGCCATGGCGTAGCAGAAATGAGATCCTTTTCAATAAAATGAATTGTAATGTAAATCAATATAATATTTTACTCTATATTTACTCGGTAGGACATTAGCTAATTAGTGACACTAAACATACCTACTTATTGCTACGACAAACATTTGCCATAACAAACTAGTCTCTTGCCAGTTTTATTACATTTTGTACGGTGTTGCGCAAAAGAAACTGGCGAGTACGATTGCTTCTTTACTTTGCTCATTTTAATGCATTTTTTAAAATGTTTTTTAAAACTGCCACGTAAACATTGGAAATTTGTTACAACTAAAGATGTGACAACTCAAGTGGTGTTCTTTTTAGTTGCCTATATTCTGCAATTTTATTTATTGATGGAAACATTTAATTAAAGCGATATATCCCGTTACGCAATATATGTTGTAAATTTTCTTCAACTTTTTAATGAAAAACAGTTCAAAAATTTAATCATTAAAAGTAAATTGTTATCTTTAAATCTTGAACAACCTTTGAACAACCTCTTGAACAACGGCCCTTTATAAACAATTGTTTAATACTCTTTAACATGCTTGTTTAGTCGCAACTATAGATTTATAAGTTTCAAAATATCAAAGCAGCTGTTGCGCAGTGATTAAGCGCTGGCCTCATGAATCATGAAATTCGAGATGCCAGCGCTTTTTTTGGCCGTATATGTATCACTGCTTTTTTTGGCCATATATGTATTATTGGTAAGAAAGGTTAAGTGCTAGTTAGATGCTCTTCCGCCGTGCTGTATGATAAAACTGTTAGGTCTTCTTTGAGCACTTTTGTAACAAAAAATATATAGAACAGGTTTATTGTTTGCTCACTATGTTTTTTTTAATTATTACCCTGTATTTTGGAGTTTCTACCCTGTATTTTGGAGGCACTTATATAATAATAACAAATAAATCATGCTACTTAAAGAGGTTAATACAGGAATCTAACTGACAAGTACAGAAACCTAACAGATAACAAATGAATCAGACAAAGACTGTACCAGTAAAGTGTTTTTACAACTTTTTTTAAGTTATTATTAATTAGGGCTTATTGTTTAAATGTTTCCCAAGATAATTTGTTCCACGGCTTAACTGTTAACTAATTTGTTATACGATACCTCTTTTGCAACTTTTGCAAGGCGGCATAATTTTGAATTATACCGCCTTGTTCATTATCTAATCAAACCATGATTTTTTGTCATTAGTTTTCCTAAAGAGATATAATAATCTATTATAGCTCCTTAGTTTTCCAAACATTTAAATTATTAGTTTTCAAATACCGTTCTATGGCTTTCTTTAATTGCCCAACTTGTTAAATTTTTTGGGCTATAGCCCCCCTAGCCCCCTTTGATCCAGCACTGATTTTTTTACTTTCATCTTAGGTCATGTCACTAAAAGTAAATATAATAAAACTTAGAGTTAACTTCAACAAAATGCACAATGTTACCGCAACAATCAAAGTTGTAAAACTACGTAGACATATTATTGTGCAAAAATCAAAATAAATACACATTTTTTACTACTATTTTGTTATTATTACTATTATTATTATTATTATTATTATTATTATTATTATATACTGAATATACAACAACAAACAAAATATAGCAGTATAGCTGTGATAACATATAAAACCAATAGGAGAGGCATACAGTTAAAATCAAATATTTGTTGGAAGAGAATTGAAACAAAAAAATTTTTCAAGCATATTTTTGAAAGCATTGGTGTTAATAATATTCAACTCTTGCTGTTTTAAAGGTGTTAATGTTAACAATGTTTGGTTCATTTATACTGATAGGAGACAGGAAATTGTAAACTCAAATCAATTGTCACGCAGTTCGAGAATTACCTTTTGTAAGCATAAATTCACGAGTCTGAACGCGTTAAGGTAAACATAAAAGATTACCAGATGGTCCAGGTTTTGCAAGAGCATTAACTAGAAATGGTAGCCTAATGCTTTTTGACTTGATTTATGTTTTAATATATTTTTTATTACTAAATAAGACTTTTCAATTTGTTAATGATTGTTTTGAAAAGTAGAATTGGTTTCATAGAAAAAAAAAAAAAGGGCATTTTTCAACGGTTTCAAAAGTGTTTATTTTTATTTTTTCTATTAAAAGGGGTATCCAAGCAACTGAGCAATACATCATATAATGTCATAGTTAAATTCAGTAAAGAATTTAAAATCTTTCGATAGTCTATACAAGTTTAAAATACCTTTAGGTACTTTGACTCGAGTGCTGGTATAATAGTATAAGTACTACTTATTGTGACCCAGAAAAAAAATGGTAAACCATAACACCAAGATTGCGTTCTGATTTTAACAATTCAATATGATTTCTGTTTTTCTTGTCAAAACGAACCTCAACATTTGTCAACAGAAGTTTTGTTGTGAAGGTTAAGGTGTTTCTTTCATAAACCTGGTTTGCAATTTTTTTGTTTTTTGTAAAGATCATGAGTTAGAACGTGTCAGCCCACTTCATTACTCTGTTAATTTAGCTTTAAATCGTTGTATGTCAATTGGCTCTTTTAACATTGAAATAAGTTTAGTGTCGTTAGCATTTAGTTTGCAATAGCAAATAATTAGAATGAGGAACAACCGTGGTCTAAAACATAAACCCACTGAAGAGTTGATATAAGTATATGCACACTGAAAAAAAAAAGGTAGAAATTTCTATTAAAAGTAGGATATGTGATATAACCTTTAGTAAGGTTTAGCTTTCTACCTTTTAAGGTAGAAAATTATACCTTTAAGATAAAAAATTGCATGAAGAATCATTGTTTCTAATATAATTTTCTATCTTAAAAGGTAGAAAGTTATACCTTACTGAAGGTATATCACGTATCCTACCCTAAAGTAGAAATTTCTACCTTTTTTTTTTAGTGTATACAATGTAAGTTAAATGTATATTCTAAATAACATTTTTAACCCATTATTTGATTTAACTATATTTGATAAAACTTTTTTGTTTATGGGTCTTTTTTGATTTTATGTTCTTTTTTTTCCAATCTTTTTTTCACATTCTCCTGTTTATGCAGCAAAAAGTCACAAATACTTAATATCCTTACCCAAACATCTGATGTGAAAAAGTTACAAATACTTAATATCCTTACCCAGACATGTGAAAAAACGTGTGATCTCAACAAAAACATCCCTTTAAAGTTAAAAATTAATTAAACTTACTTTAAAAAAAAGAATTGAAGGATGCATTTTATATATATATATATATATATATATATATATATATATATATATATATATATATATATATATATATA